AGTCTACCCTCACTCGTGAACAAGACCCCGAAATACTTTAACTCCCTCGCTTGACGCAGCAACTCTCTCCCAACCTCATGACAAAAATTAAAGTGATGCACAAGATAAAAGAGTTAAAATGCTGAAATCAAACATAATGTTTATAAATGTAATGCATCCATGGTTTGCAGAAATGTACAATGCCAATATTTTCTTCTAGCGACTGGGCTGCATATTTTGTGTTTTGTGCTAAATAGCAAATGTTACCATGCGAACATGCTAAACTAAGATGGTGAACATGGTAAACATTACAACTGCAGATCAGCTGCATTTTAAAGTCTGTCGACGGTAGTATTCAGCTCGAAGCTCAGCATCACTTAAATGTTATCCTGGCTTTAGTTTATCTTTTTTTCTCTGCATTGTCTTTGTGTGAACGTAAAGCAAGTGAGAAGAAGCCTCCTTCTTCCTCTTCCTCCTGAGTTTTAGAGGAAATTATAACTCTAGAAGGGCTCCTTTTCCTTTTTTCCATTACTCAACAGAGCTAGTTGGTCCCACGGCAAACAAACCACGGATAAAACAACATATACACACACAAATGCTGGCATGGAGAGGATACATACACACAGTTTACAAGCCCCATGGCTCCATGCGCCTGTTCTTATGAATATAGTTGACTCCCAAGCGGGCAGGAAGTGCCCCGGACAAATATGGAAATCTACCACATGCTAATGTGACTTTTCAGAACAGGGAGATATTAGGCAAATCCAAAACACATGGAAACGAGGCAGGAATATATATATATATATATATATATATATCTGAATATGTTGACATCAAAATTTTGTTAGTTGGAAATAAGCATTGCAGTTGTTCTATATTAAAGGTTTACAAAGTTTACATGGGCATGTAATCACAAGCAATGCTTTCACAGCATGTATAGTAAGTGTGAGCTAATTTAGAGAGTCTGTTCTCCTAAATTACACAAAAATTTGGCTTCATTTGCCAGATGTTAAGATACTGTATGGATGACATGGATATATCAAGACCTCAAGTGTTTGCATGGTTAGACAGAAGTAAGTGAAATGCTGCATGTTAGTTTTAAATCAAGATGAATATTAAATCTTTTACAGCATCAGAAGAAACGTAATATATATTTAGTTTTCTGGTGGTGTAACAGGTGCTATTAGGACCAATTTACAGCACAAAGGAGACAGTAACAGTTGGTAATGATGTTTACTGTAACAACTTAGCAGGTACAGGGCAGAGCTACTCAACGGCACACAATACAGTTCAACACTCCAGCAAAGTCTCTCCACAAAATCCTTTACAGCAGGCCAAATCAGGCCGGAAGGCAGGTCAGTGAGTTGTGGCATTAACACAGTTCAAACACAGTTCAGTTCAATAACAGGCAACAGTACCATGGAGGAGGCAGGGGACGTAGCTGTGGAGACAAAAGAACCAGGTAAATACACAGTGCAAATAGATGAACCGGTCAGGGACAGGTAGAGGCCAGGTGGAGAGTCAAGAAGCCAGCAGCTAAGTACTCACAGGATGCACACACAATGGCAGGTGTGGTGACACGGTGAAAATCTCAAGTAACCAGACTGGAACACTCGGAGCATCGTTGTCAGATGGTAACACCAAACAGCCACAGGCAAACAGGAACCAAGGACGCAGAAGCAGGTCTTGTGGTTGGGTACAGAAGGCTGGAGAGTTTGGCGGGAATCAGAAGAAGCAGGCAAGTTAGAAGCACGGAGGGTCTGCAACAAGCAATCAGTCTGGAATAAAGTGTTTGAGAGTGCATGAGTGACAATCTGACAGAGTGTCTGTGAGGCTGGGGTATGTGCACTGGCTGAGTGTAATGAGGAACAGGTGAACTGAGTTGCCTTGATGAGGTGCAGGAAACCAGGGTGAATGGAAAATAACTGACTGATGGCTGGGTGAGTGGGCGTGCAGATCTGTGACAGGTTTGTGTTTTGAGTGGTGGTTATTTTGGGATTAGCTTGACCCTTTTGTTTACATCGGGATCACAGATTGTGCCATTAATTTTATCACTTATTACATGAAGAATAGCCTTCTAAAAAAATCAACCTCTAAACTGCTGAATGTGTTAGTTTTGAATCATGGTGGAGACATTATGACAGTAGAAACATTTGCAGTGGCAGATGGAGCCTGACTCCTAAATGGAATCCACATCCTAAGATTCACTTGCGTACAATTTAAATTTCCAAATGTTTTGCTGTGAAACCCTCAAAGTGCCCCCAGGATTTAAGACTTTAGCCACAAGCTGTAAAAGTTTATTATCATTATAATCTCTCAGTGTTTCTATCGGAAATGTTTTAAACTTTTAATGCATCTGAACGATGACTCCTAACACAGATGGGACCTCATCATGCAAAACAAACTGATGTAAGAGTGGTGTTTAGTCATCGTGTTCCTCCGACCACGTTTATTTTCTGCTACCATGTTTGGAATTCTTGGCTTGTTCTTTTGTTTGGTTCTTTAAACAGAGTCCTGCAAATACACCATGATTTATAGACATCATTCCACCCAAGCTTTGGCTTCTTTTTCTTTGGTTTAGTGAAGCAAAGGTGTAATAACAGAATACACTTTCTCACTTTCTGTATTATTATGCCGGCTACATCCTGTACATCCCTATTTTTGGTCTGAATTCACGATACTGTATACTGGAGCCATTTATTATTCTGTCACACCTACGGTCTGAGCACACACACACACACACATACACACACATAAATAACCAGGAGCCAAAACTGGAGTTGCATTCACTTACAGCATCCATCCTGAGAGCAGAGAGTCAGTGTGCAGGTCATTAGAGGCAAAGGAGAAAATCTTCTCTTAAGCCACAAACTCCTGCACAAAGTCTTAATCAGATGCCTTATTTACCAAACACGGAACATAAACATGAGATGTTCAGACGCTGATTACAAGGCCCGCGCTGCAAATCAACAAATCAGCTCATCGCAGGTTCGCAATCAACACAAGTGGTAATCACTTTTGCCTTTTACCAAATTTACCTGGAGAGCAAGGACACAGAGGAGAGAATGAAGATTACCAATGTGATGCATCATCACTGATCAAAGGTCATGTTTATTTGCGCACTGGTCTGTTTTTTTTCTCTGTTCATGGCTTGATTGCACACATTCTTTCTGTACAACCTTACAATCACCTTAAACTAGAGTAAGGCCTCAAACGCACAGCTATAGTTAGAGCTTTTCAATGAGGTGCATAAAGTCATGTCTGTGTCATACATAGGTAGGTAGGTAGGAAGGTAGATAGGTAGGTAGATAGATAGATAGTCCATCTCAGTGGAAATTTAGCTTTGGCTTCTCTCAAAAATCAAAGGTACATATAGACACATAACTCAATACACCATTAAAAACGTATAATATGAACCCTGTCTCACTCCAAATTCATCGAAATTGGGCACTTTGGCAGTGCCTTGCGCTGTCAGAAACCAACGAAAAAAGGCGTCCTTTAACGTTGGCATGATACGTGACTAGACGAAACCATTGTAGAACATTGCAGAGAAAAGTTGCAGCGGTGTGAACTCATCGATCTGAGCTCGACTCAAGCTGACTGATGGTTTCGCCTGCAACTCAGCTGGTCAAATCACCAGCGGTTGGTTTTAGAACGTTAAGACCGCCACCTGCTTCTAGTGAAGACCGCAGTTGCTTTGTCCCCACCAAGCCCTCTGTTTCCGTCCTCACATTGGCTGGTGTTAGATGGTGGGTCGCTGCTGCTGCTCTCTGTATGTGCTTATGCCCCGCCCACACACACATTCTCACTGACTGATTAATTAGCACTGGGTATTTATATTATTGAGGCATATTTATTATAAATACAGTCCATCTGATGCTCATTTTGATTCTGTTTGTCACCATTTCATCACTAATACAAACACAACTGTAGCCAGCATCTCACTATCACTATCCTCATTCATATTTTAAGAAGCTACAAATTATATTCAGCCACAAATTAAGTCTGAAAAGCTGCAAATCAGAACAGAAGTACAGATAGTTGTTGCATAGAGATGATACACCGTCCCATCTAGTTGCATTGGTGTGAACCGGCAGGTTTTTAGAACGTTACAGAATGGTGCATTGCAAGAAAGTGCCTGTTTCAACTTGTGTTTCAAGACTTTAGATGACTAAACATATAACGATCTCAATCAGAAATCACACAAGAGTCATTTTGGAAGACAAAAAATTACAGCCCATGCTGTAACATTAACATTCCAATATTTCTACACGGTAAGTTACAAGTAAAAAAGCAGTCAAGCAATTGTAATGGATCACAGAGAAAACCTCTAACCTTCATTTACACACGTGAAAATGTGTATGTGTGTGTGAGACAGACTCAAAGACGGTGTGTCTGAGCGTGCGACAGCCACTGAATGATAAATTTGAGATGAAATCAGAGTCTGGGTTTGACTGTCCCTCTGTGCTGACTCCTCTCCTCCTCCTCTCACTGAATATATCAGAGGCTTTAAAAGTTTAACAGGCTCTCAGGGTAAACTGTCCAAGGTTACTGTAGTTTTTCCAATTTAGCTTTAGTCCCCAATCTGTTTTTATGATCAGATCAGCGCCGAGCTTCCATAAACATACACATTGAATATGATGGTTATTTGAAGTTTAGTCACAGTGTTTGAACACTGATGCCTGTGTGCTGTTTGTACCTGTTGTGTAAACGTATTGACGGGATGTTTTCAGCCTGATTAGACGGTAGACTGTTCCATCGATTGTTGATCAAAGCAAATTAATTACTGCAGATCATCAGTGAACTTTCACTCCAGTCTCAGCGTGATGTTAAAATACTGTTGTGCTGTGATGTAGCATGCATACTTTAAGGAATGAGGTATCCTTGAAGCTACAAAATGACATGTCATGTTTGTCATTTTGATCATTTTCATAAACAAAATCATCAACACAAACATGCATCTTTTTGGGGATTATTTGTGATGTTATTTGATTGTGATTCTTTGCGTCTTTTTGTTGCAGGCACAGAAATTGAAGTCAAACTCGACTGTTGATGGCGTCTTCTGTGTGGTAAGTTTGGCGTCAATGACACATTCAAACACACAACACACAAAATGTTTTACTTTCAACTAGACTTCTGGTTAAAAAGCAGCTATAATACAAAGTGGGACTGAATGAAATACCTGAAGATATGACATATCTCACTCAGGGTTAGGTGAGTTTCAAAGAATGTACCTGTCGGTTCATTTTTCTGTTCCCTCAAGACTTTCTTGTAAGCGATTCTCAGAGTAAACCTTTCCAAACTTTCTTGCTTCTTTGTTACAAATGTTTTGCAGTTAGAAAGGGTTTTTGTGAGTCAGCCCAATCGGAATTTTCTAGGCATTCTTGAGCCTCTTTCCCACTGGACAAAAACCCACTAACACCCACTGACATCTGGCTTTTTGTCTTCAGTGGGAAAGGTTATAGTTGGCATTCATTCCCAGGACAATTGAATCTGCACTAGCCACAGGTTTCTATTGGCTTCAGCTCTGATTCACTCTGAATGACACTCGCATAGACATGCTAATATTTGCCCCTTTTCCAGCTCAATTTAATGATGCATCGCCACGGATTCCATCCATTCCCCTCCAAGCAGCATCCTCCCGACTTAGTCAGCACTGAGTGTGAAAGAGAGACCGAACTGTAACAGATATGAAGTAACCACCGTAACATCTTCACCAGCCTCTGTGCTGCTTTCTGCTGTTTATTAGGCTGTTTTTCAATGTGTTTGTGACATCAGACATGACACACAAGAAACAATCAAACAAAGAAAAAAATGAGAAAGTCATACTCGCACAGCTCATACAGCTTTGGTCTACTGGCAGTGGAAAGGATTAAAAAAGCATTACCTCTTGCACTCCACCCCCATTTTGTAGCAAAAACGCTTCAAATGACATACCCAAATTAAAATGACTGTAGCTTCTGAACCGCTCTGACTACATGCATGCATGAGGTCTTGCCAGAAAGAAAACTTTCTGAAGTTTCTTGTGAAAGTGTCAGAAACACTCTAGGTGATACAGACACAGAGTAATGGGCCTCTGAAGTCAGTAAAAAATTGAAGATTTTGCCTAAAATAAAATAAAAAAAGTGTTTCAGGATGAATAACTGTCTGTGGCTTCATCTGAGCAGGTAAATGACACTGTGGGGCTGTAGTCACACTATCAATGAACACTTGTTTCAAATTTGAAGAAGACTGCTCAAAGTATGACCATTCTACAGTGTTTTTTCCATGAAAAGATCCAGGCGGAGCTCCAAATGACAAGTCGGTCACTAACATTGAACCTTATTGAAATCAGGTGTGATTATGAAGGCTGATGTTGTTTATGACACAGAAACACCATAAAATATCACCAAATAAAGCCATATGAAACGTGAAAGTTATGATCCCACTTTCTAGACGGTGTATCTCAGCCAAAAATAGTGGTAGGTGTGAGACTCTTACCTTTTATAAAACAGCTAAGTCCCCGCTAACAGCTCCACATAAGGTCGCGAGTAATCCTTTAATTTTTCCCGTCGAAAATCGTCATGACATGACTTGTCACCACTCATCGTGATTTTGGACTATGTGTGTTTAGGCTGCTCTGGTTCAAAATACATAATAAATAAAAGTTGTTATTTTTGAAAAGTCGAGAGCTTCCTGAGTCAGGCAATGCCAAACATCACATGGTTTGATGACGTAGTGCGCCTGGGAGTTACCATTTAACAGAGGAGGAGGGGAGCGAGGACGTCGGCGGAGTTAGAGAGTTTAAACACATGAATATGGGAGCGACCTCTTGCTCACCTGGTAGAGTGTGTGCCTCATATAGTCTGAGCCCCTTGCAGCAGCTGTGTGTCGTCCCCACACTCTGTCTCTCGGCAGCTTCCCTGTCATTAAAGGCAAAAACTGCCCAAGAAATAGTCTTCAAAAAAAACAAAACTGCATATGCACACTAAAACCTCTTTTCGATAGTCATGTGCTAGCTTAGCTTGGGCTTTGGTTCGGGATTTGCATTTCCATTACAATAGAGCTATTGCCCCTGCCTTATTTCCCAGCTCCCTTCTTCTAGCCCCCTTGCTCCAACTTCACCCATCTTCCATCTACACCCTGTTGCAACCTCAGCTACACACCTGTAATGTTGTGTGACTGCGTCTTGCAGGGTTGTGAGGCTATCATAGCGACAAAATCCATCCACAGACAGACAGACATAAAAACATCTGGCAAAGTACACAAAATGGCTTCTGTGGTCGTTCCTTCTACAGTACATGTCCCCAGGATCACATTTTGCCACGATGACACACACACACAGACTCAAGGTGAAAACAATACCCGCCCCACTGTCACAGCTGGTAAAGATAAGTGCAGTGACAAACTGCTTGTCTTGAACATGTTTGAAGTCTTGTCAGACAGATCTTTGCAGTGCACCTGGATATTATATATTGTTGGCACACTGTGATCACAACTGTTATCGAACAACTGTAGTGTGTCTTTAATTTGGGAAAAATATCACAGCCTTTAACAACCTGGACACAACCTGTGTTGGGAGATGAGCTCTCAAACCATTTTATATCCAAAAACAATTTCATTAAACACCACAGCACGATTGCTGGAGCTATCAAATAATCACAAACAGTAATCCGACCTGACTGTTGGAAGTCTGTGACCTCCCTCTGACTGTGATTGCCACGGCAATCCTTCCCACCTCCTTTGTAAACTCCTGGTCTTTGTAGTTCCTTTGAGGCTGAAATGGGATTGTTGCTTATCGGGTGGCTTTTAAAGTTCACTGTAAATGTCATTGTACAATAATAAGGCACTGTTATGCACTGGACTGACATTTAATAGAGGCAGGGACAGGTCTGGGGGAGATGACCCAGCCGTTAGCTTGCAGCTTTATTAGCAAGCCAACGACCAGTGGTGAAGCTCATATACACATGTACTTACACATTGTGGCACATGCACACACACACACACACACACACACACGTACTTTTAAGCTTTGGCATTTCAGTTAGAAAAACAACCTTTTGGTTTTTTTCATACCACATGAATATGTTTAAGAGTTTTTATAGGTGATATTACTGAATTAAACAGTCGTGAAGTGTGCCACATTCTGCACGCATGAATTAAACCCCAACCTAAAGTCCACTTCATGTCCCAGTGGGTATAAGTCGCTGGCACTGGCAGAGAAATCAAAAAGACTCCCTCCAGTGTGTGATGCATAAGGAAACAAAGACCTAAATACCTCAAAATGTTTGATGCTTGAAATGTTGGCAGCGCTTTATGTTATTGTTGTCGGGTGTTTTTCCTCGTCATTTATCAAGCTGTCATGGAAACGATCGGAGAGTCTGCTCTGGACGGGATCCAGAGGCACCTGCCACAGCTGATTCATGAAACTCTCTCATGCCACAATCTGGACATTCAAGTCAGCTAGTTGTCTCTGGATGTTCATGTTTTTTAAGACAATGTGAGGTGAATGTTAGAGCTGTGAAAGAGAGGGAACTGATATAATCTCACCTTTGTGGAGTGTTTGCTTCAGGGTTCACTATTTTTCCCCAAAAACTATTCATCCGTATATATTGGTGTGTATTTTTGATATTTAAAAAGTGTTCTGTAGAGTGACTTTGGTGCATAAATCAGCAGTTCAGGTGCAGGGCAGAGGGGTAATTTGACTTTTCTCTAACCCTGCCTGCACAGGTACATCTGTCAGGCTGTACATTATGTACGGTTTACAACAACTGTGGAGTATTTGCCCTCCAAAGTTTGTCACAAAAGATTCTCTTTTTTTTAGTGGTTGAAATTATTGTTACTGCAAGATCTGAACACGTTGAACTAGTGGCATTGCATACATGGTTTGGTTGAAAAATCTGTCTCCAGATGACTCTTAAAAGTGTCCAGCTGACTCGTGTGTAAATCAGAAAAGAGTTGTTATTATGGATTTGATAGCTACATAACTGATAGCACAATGCCGCAATGCTGTAATGGTGCAACCATCAGTAATTCTTAGGCTTGTGTCCCAGGCAAAAAGTCAGCATCATGCTTTGTGCTGAAGACATTGGAGTAGTTCTTATATTCCATGGAGGAGCAAGTTAGACCAAGGAGGCTTTCCAATCAGGGACCGAGTACACTTAAAGGGATAGTGCACCCAAAAATGAAAATTCAGCCATTATCTACTCACCCATATGCCGAGGGAGGCTCAGGTGAAGTTTTAGAGTCCTCACATCACTTGCGGAGATCCAAGGGGAGAGGGGGTAGCAACACAACTCCACTTAATGGAGGCAGTTAGAGTTGCAGGCTACAATGACGTTTTTCCAAACAACTTTTTATGTCGGGGCTTCAGGACACTTGGATCACTACGGACGAGCAGTATGGAGATATTTTGTGGTTTCAATTATGTGTTTTTGGACGTTTGAATCTGGGGCGCCGTCAGCCTCCATTAGGTGGAGTTGTGTTGCTACCTCCTCTCCCCTTGGATCTCCGCAAGGGATGTGAGGACTCTAAAACTTCACCTGAGCCTCCCTTGGCATATGGGTGAGTAGATAATGGCTGAATTTTCATTTTTGGGTGCACTATCCCTTTAATCTNGTGAGGACTCTAAAACTTCACCTGAGCCTCCCTTGGCATATGGGTGAGTAGATAATGGCTGAATTTTCATTTTTGGGTGCACTATCCCTTTAATCTCAAAGTCCAGGTCATTTGATTAGTGTGAACACTGTGTACCCTACCTGGACAAGGTTCATCGATTCTTACTTGAATCGACTTGAAAAGGTGGTCATGGGTTTGGTTCATGTGTACTCGGGTACGGTTCACGTCAGGTGTGGAAACCAACTGTGCCAAAATATGGAAGTGGACTGCTATGTAACGCAAGTAGCAGTCGGAGAGTAGAGTTATTAAGGCATTTCTCAGTGACGCCGGTCTCCTCTGAAATCTCAACGTGCACGCCGAATGCGTCGATCTCCTCTGAACTCCACTCCTAGGACATGTCAGCGTGGGTTTCCTCCAGGTGCTCCAGCTTCCTCCCACAGTCCAAAGACATGCAGGTTAATTGATGACTCTAAATTGTCCGTAGGTGTGAATGTGAGTGTGAATGGTTGTCTGTCTCTATGTGTCAGCCCTGTGATAGTCTGGTGACCTGTCCAGGATGTACCCTGCCTCTCAACCCCAGGATGAGCACATTCTGATAATTAATGAATGAATGATATTAATAATCGATAAAAAGGAAACTGAAAGGAATGATTCCCCTTGGGCTGTATTTTAAATACTAACCACCTTCACTCCTGTCTCTGTCTGTCTGTGTCTCTCTCAGGACCCTCAAATAGACGGTCCCAGTACGTCCAACGCCATCTTGAAAAACTCGGCTGTCTCCAGACGGCCTGCAGGCCTGGCCTCTCTGCTGCCCCCGCTGCTCTGGCTGTGCTACTGCAGCCTGCTGGAGCTGTCCTCGCCGGGCGTCTTGTAGCCTCGCCGCTTCACAGCAACAAACAACGGACTGACAAACACACATTTGTATAAAAGAAAAAGCAAAACAAGAAATTATATCCTTTCTTCTCAGTAATACCTGTTGTACTTTTATTTCCCTCTGGATTCTATCTCTATTTTGATTCCTACTTTGATTTTTTTATGAATTTTGTTGTTTTATTGTTTTGGATTTTTTTTGCATTGCAGCTGTGTGCTAAAACGGTGATCTACTACAAGTGTTAACTCAGTCTGGCTGTGTGTTCCCTTTGGGTTAGTTGGAAAAAAAAGGGATTTAAAGCTTCTGTGTTGCTCCCTCGGGCAGAAATGAGAAAATACTCGAGGACTACATTCCAATAAACCACAGCTGGTGGCTCTTGGAAAGGTACACAATGTAAATTAGCATCGATTTTCACAGTCGTCAACTCAGTTTTCACCCATGTCTGTTTGTGTGTTGAGGCTATAGGTGGGATCTTTTGCTCAAAAGTCACAGTCAGTTCAGTAACGGCTACATTTTATCACTTGGGCAGCCTTTTCGGTGTTATTCAGTCTCCTCTGTGGTTTGTGTATGTTTTGATAATGACGTGATCTGGTATTTTACATTTTTACGAAAGGTCCATTTGGATTTTTTTTCCTGACAAAAAAATGTCACTAGAAAGCCTTTTTCTTTCAGGGTGAACACCAATAACTTGAAACATTAGAGAAGCTAGAACATCTGCGCCCGAGCCGTCTTTACTGTAGCTCATACTGAACACATGTCGCCGCTGGCAAAAGCACACAGGCAAAGACCCACAAACACATACTGCACATTTTCACACAATCAGACAAAAACACAAAGAAACACACACACACAACGCCAGGCTTTCCGCTCCCTTTTTTTTTTACACCAACAGAGCGACACTCAGAGATCACAGGACAGTAGGTGATACGCTGCTGTGGATGGCTGAATCCACTCCACTCATTAGTGATTGTACATACTTGTAACTGTTAGAAGTCCAAGCCATGTTCAGGGTTTCTCTGCAGAAGGTGACAGAGAAGCTGCTGCAGTTTCACCTGAATGATTTCTTTCTTTCTTTGTTTTTTTAGTTTCGATGTACTTTGCTGCACTGCGTCCACAAAAACAAGAGCTGAGGAAAAAAAAAAGCTTATTGTTGTAGAGTATATTCAGCGGTAACTCCATCGCACCGAAGCTCAAAGCATCCTTTTCTGTCAGTTCAGTGTTACGACTTATTGCCTCAATTGTGAAACTGTCAACACGTGTTTGGGGAGGGAGCAATCACTTGATTATGACTGCTTGCTGAGCCTCGCTACCCTCGCTTACCGCCACTTTAACTGTCAGGTATTCCAGTATAGCATGCATGCAGTTTACCATAATAACTGTGACAAAGTTGCTGCTTGAATTTGGTGGTCATTTTAAGAATAATTGGCCTTTGATTTATGATAGAAGTGGACATAAGCACCCTTCTAAATTTAGCTGGTGACCAGTTTTGACAGCTTATACGACAATGGTCACTGGCATCCACTGTAGCTAACACATGGATATCTCTGTCTGCCGAGTTTTTATTGTTTACATCTGGCTCATTTTAAAATAAGGACGAGGATTTTTGTTATGCATTTGACTTTTATTTCATAAATACCAACCCAAGTGCCGACACTGTACATTTCCACAAATATGCAGATATGTCACATTTGTTTGTTCTGCAATGCTATATCGTAGGCAACTGGACTTACTTGAGTTTCTTGAAGACATTTCACCTCTCATTCAAGAAGCTTCTTCAGTTGTAACAGACTGGTGCAGAGTCACATGTGTAGGTAGATTTAGGCACAAAAAACATTTAGTTATGTTTGGAAAAGATCATGTTTAGGCTAAAAACCCATGGCCTTGGTGGCACAATCTTGGCCAGAGAAGCCACCAATGTCTCCAGTGATATTTGGTTCAAGATGTCAAGTGCTTTTCGTGGCACTATCCCCGCTAGAAAAACAGGGACATGTTGTTAAAAAGCCACTGAAAATGCAGCGAGGACTTGGCATGTTTCTTGACTAGGTGTCAAACCATCATCCAGCTCATACCATGTCACTTTAGAAACGTTTATATGTATTAAATGTACTTGTAACGTGTAATGTATTTGTCGACTGACTTTGAGGATGAGGACTAACTGATGGGTTTGACAAACCTGCCCACCAGTTGACGTTCCAGGCTTGTTCTACCCTAACTTGTAACCCCACTTAATAATGTAGTTAGCTACGATCTGCCAAGACATTCTCACTCCCAACTTAATAAATACCAATACTTGGTCAGTGGCCATCAAGCTACGATACTCTAGGTGTTGGACGTGTCAGGAATGGTGTGTATATTTCTGCTGTTTTCATGCATAGTGTTTTTTTCCAAAATAAACTTTTGTGTTTATAGGAAATGTACGGTTTCCAGTTCTTACATGCGTAAACATTTATTTAGGTTTAGGGAACAAAAGTACTCAGTTAGGTGGGGTACGGAGGCTTTATAGTTATGTAGTTAGAATAACTCGACTTTTAGTGTCACAAAGGACACAAACAAGAATAAACAGCTGTCTCCTGGATGAAAGTCCTGTGTTTGTTTGACCCATCCATCTACTCCACTCCCCTCTCTACGCAGACTTTCACACTCTTTATACTAAGTGTGTCAGTTGTTCTGGCTGTCCAATGTTGCTGTGGATGGGTTTACATTAGAGTTAGCTGAAAGCCGCGTGGGTCTCGTACAGAGGCTAAAGGGTGCCTTGTGTGTTGGTGTCAGATACCAAGGGCCACTGACCAAGCGTTGGTGTTTGAAGAGTTGGGATTGAGAATGGGTGGGATCTGCTCTTGGGTTTGGAAGTAATGCTGTGGTATACAGTATATGGTATATAGCTGCATAGTTACAGTAACTCAACGTTGACTTTAAGTTTCACACGGGACACTAACAGCTGTCTCCTGGGTGAAAGTCCTGTATTTGTTTGACAATTCATCCACCCCAACCTCCTCTCTACATGGACTTTCTCACTCTATATACAGTGTGTTGTTATGGGCATCTAATGGGTTTACATTGGAGATAGCTGAAAGCCCGGTGCATCTCATACAGATACTAAAGGGTGCCTTGTGTGTCGGACACCAAAGGCCACAGACCAAGTGTTGGTGTTGGAAGAGTTGGAAGTGAGAACCGGTGGGATCTGCTCCTTGGCTTTGGAAGTAACGCTATGGAACTACTGTAGCTAGAATGTGAATTATCAAAGTGTGCTAACTTTGAACTCGCACTCTGTATCCGAACCGTGTACTTCTGGATAGGTTAAAGAACGCAACAACATCCTCTTTGTTTCCATTTCTGCATGCTGATTGGACGACAAAGCCGCTCTGCTTACAAACAGTAGCAAAATTCCAACTCAAGAATCGGGTTTGGGTGGAGGGGCTCAGCAAACAGTCAACTCTGTCTTGTTATGAAACCGACTGTGGCAAACACGTGACATGTGACTTATGTACTGTATGTAAATCGTTCAAGCATTTTGTATGTCTGCTCCCAAGGACTGCTGGGAAAACAAAAAAGCCACCATCGCAAATCACGTTCAGCTCTCGCATCTGTCCTCATCAGCTTCTCAGATGGAGGCGTGTGGTTTTTCAGTTCTCCTCGGAGTAAATACACTTCCCCTACGACACACGATCGAGACGTTTACATCCATCACTGTGGCATGTTCAGCAAGTTACTTTAGCCATCCAGACACAGACAGGAGCATTTACAACACACTGCTTGGGTTTATGTAGCTTCTCGAAACATGATTAATGTATAGTAGAACTTAAATGTTATTTACCAAGCATAAACATGGTATATGCACTGTATGTACTTGGCTGAAACTATAAATTGGACAAATAAATGTCTGATGATATTCTATTCCAGAGCATTGTGAGCTATTTTGACATTCAGATACAACATAGAGTACATTGAATAAACCAGAATATTGTTTTTTATAACAACTTGTGTGTATATTTCTCCCAGTATGTACATGATTATAAAATATTATTGCATCTGAGAAAGAGGATATCAATGTAACTCTCCTACTGTAGTTATACACGACTGTATTTCCTAAGCATATTGTTTTGTACCATAGCCCCATTTATGATGTTGCTTACATATAGTATTTGGTTTTTTGGCTAAGATTTGAACTTATTTTTCTATCTTTTACTAATTGTTTTTGCTGTTTTGATGAGTTGAACTGAACGAGGTGGGTCGGGCACAGACAACTCATACTTACATTGTTCAACTGTTCAGTCCTGTTGCTATAATTATTTTGGTTTTACTGCCAAAATAATTAGGTTGACAATATTGAGAAGTTGAGCAAGAAGGAAAATTGTCATTGCATGGTGATTGAGAAGGAAATAAAGCGATGTTTGAAGACAGATATATTCTATACCATACCACTGAAGGCTTTTTTATGGTATATCTGACCAGAGTTGGGAAAAGTCCTGCAGATTAAATGTGTGCAGTTTGGAGGGAAAGTTAAAGAGATGTGTTTTGAGTTGCTACTAGGGTTGTAACAGTTCATGAAATGTATGGTTCGGTTCAACACAATACAGTGGGGTCTTGGTATGGTACGTTTTCCATGCAGCACCCTAACCCTAACCCACATAGCAGAAAGCAGAAATGCCGAGAGATTTTTTTATTTTATTTTATTGATTTTTCCATTTGTGTTTGAATTAATTTATTTATAAAAAACTAACATTATGATTTATTTGTCTTTAAACAATTTTGGAGGTACACCTCACTGACCCATTTTCTGGGGTGTCTTTTTGGCACCATATGAAACAAAAACAGACCCTTTTTCAAAAATACAGTACTGTAAACAAATGCCAGAGAAATTTCCGTATTTTGTTGGTTTTGTTTAATGCATTGAAACAAATACCACAATTTGGGCTTTTGTTTTTTTTGTACAAGGCAGGAATTCTGATTTGGCAGACTATTGTAATGGGGCTCGAATATATTAAGAACATTTGTGCAGCCTGCGTCATCCACTAGAGATACTCAACTTGCAGCAAATGATAGGGTGCCAGGTGGCTTGCTGATCATTTTCTAATTCACAAAAAAATTCAAATTATTTAATTATATTTTAATTCCTTTAAAGAAATACCAACCCAGTCGCTGACATTGTACGTTTTTTCAAGGTACAGATATGTCACATTTGTATGTTATTATAAAGCGAATGTGTTGAAACTTTAGTGTTTAGATTTAGACAATAAAACACTCGGTAATGATAAGGTGCCAGAGTGTATAAAAAAGTGTTAAAATAGATGACCAAAAAAGGAAAAAAGTGCCAGTGGAGGATCCCCAGGTCTCCAAACAAATGTCCGAGCTAATATTAATTAATATTAATATTTGTTTATTAACAGGCTCCTGGCCTCTTGGCATGTTGCACAAGTGGCCCTTGGGCAAAGCCAGTTGAGTCTGCCTGGAGTGTGGTCTAAAATTTGCAGCTATAAATGTAACTATCGCCACAGCGATTTCTTTGTCCCTGTTTGAATCAGTTGGGAATGGCTGCCTAAATTCTGGGGAGGTACTGTTAGCATGTAGCGTTTGCGTTGCGCCTTGTTTTCGTCTAGTTCCACCTATTAACACAATTTTTTTTCTATGCACCTCTTTTTTGCCATCATGTCAAAAATTCACACTGAAATCAAAATGGCTCGAAACTCCAGACCTGTAGGTTATCAGAGGATCTGCTGCATCTGGTCTGGTAGTGGCGTTACTAACCATCTTGTACCGAGCTACCTTAGCGTAACGTGCCTCCCAGTGTGTCTCACTGGAGAAGAATGTTTTGGTTTGGGGATGAGAGGGGCAGACAGCATGTTGCCTGTTCTGTCAAATGTAATAGGACAGTTCAACGTATCATTTGGTTTGTAATGCATCCAGAACTGAAAGCCTCGTATGGTTAAAATGGTTCAATACAAATACATGGATTGTTACACCCCTAGTTGCTACACAACAAAAACTCAAACTGGGACTGATCACATTTCTCAGAATTGTGTCTTTTGGTACTTCTGATCATTTTATATAATTGAATCCCAGTGTCATATCTTCATCGGCCCTGGAATATGAAGGTGACGTTAACAGAGGTGGTTCAGTGCTTCACCTTTCTTTGAAGAGTTCCTCTGAGCTCAGAAGGCCTCAGAAGCGGGGTCACGCCTTCCTGATGTAAGGGTCCCACTCTTGGACAAAAAGTTAAAGATGTTAAATATGTTTGCTGTCCATCTCCGTCCCATCTGTTGTTTCAAAATACCAAAAATGGCTTCTTGGAGATGCAGACTCCCTCAGCTATCCGGCATCATTAACTTCTTAGCTTGTGAAAATGTAAAATCTATTGTACAAAAGTTACGATTAAAAACTTAAATCACCCAGACTGTTTGTGCGTGCTGTTATTTCGCTGAACAAAGATGAGGAACCGCCAGACAAACCTGGCCGATACCTGGAAAACACAGATAGGTGACATCAACCATTAGAGAAAGTTTGAGGTGATCCTGAGGGTCTGATAAGACCTCTGGAGTTAATGTTGTTGACCTCGGGTTACGAAGCCAAAGGAAGCGTGAAGAGCAAAGAGATGAGACCGGATAAAGACAGAGTCATCCAAGGTGTCTGACAACTCTTTTTAGCTTTAGCCACCTGGCATGACGGTGTGAGGTCACATCAGGCCGTCTGAGCACTCTGTGATACTTTATAATCCAGTGCTGCATCACAGAAAACAAAAAGAAACCTGAGATAAGGACACAGAGGTTAACTCTGACAGACTCAACGTGATCACCTTCAAGCAACTTGGCTGATGAGTTACTTTATGTTCTGCTAATATCACCATCTGAAGCTTCGACTGCCACATTTGTTGTTCTTCAAACAACCAAAGAATGCATTAGGCCTTCAGGCTTGTGAATCTGGATATAACATTACATTATTTTAAGGATGGCAGTTAAAAAGCAGCCAATCGCAGTTAGATGGAATAAATTGAAAACAGCCCAAAAGGGTCAATAAAATAAGTTACTCCAAAAAATGTAGATGTTCATTCATTTAGTCTTGAAGTAACAGTGGCAGGGAGGCTTCCTGAGGCTGAAATCAATCCTGATTCAATTTGCACTTTTAGAACAAACAATGGAAACACAATCTCCTGATACAATAACAAGGCAGTGCTGTTAAGCTCATTTTACTTACAGCTCTGTGAGAAGAGAATCGTCCAACAATGTGTCAATCAGAAATTGAGTGCTCAGTGTTTCCTGCTCATTACATTATGACAGTCACAGTTTGGATATTAAACACTGGTGGAGCAGCTGAGGAGGCCCCAGGGCAAAGGTGGACCACGTTCTGCTAATTGTGCCAGACCACTACTATGATTCAGTCAGGCCCACTTTAGTCAAAGAAAACTTTACTTGTATTTGCAGCGTGATATTTGGCGGTATGCACAAAGAGGCACAACATATGATATTATCAATACTTATTACAGTATTAAAGGGAAATTTTGGTTTATTTCAACCTGCCTCCTATCGTCCTAAATTTGTTTCAAGTGACTAGTGACATAAAAATAATAGTTAGCATGTTAGCTGTTAGCCTAGATACAGCCGGGGCGCATAGTAGCATCAGACCTGTTAAAACGTAAGTGAACGGGCAACCTTCAAGTGCAAAGTTAGTCCACTAAACAAGCTTTTTCTCCACAAAGACCGCCTCATATCGTTAGGATAAATGTCAGAGAACATATAGAAAACTACATGTAAACGTGTTGTCTTACCTTACCGGTGTGCTGCCATTTTTGTTTACCATTTAGCTCTGCTTTCCAAAGCGCGGCCGAAATATATCTCGCGAGCTCTAGATAAAGCCCAGCTGGATACTACTCCAGGTGGAGGTGTCTCGTCCTCGGTCACATCCAGACCTTGAAAATAAGGCTGCAACCGGTCCCATTCCTTGCAACAGAGGCATTCCTCTTCTGTGGGCACTGGGGCACAGCATTCACAGGTACACCACCAATCTCCAGAGCTACGCAGCCTTGCAGCAGCCATTCCTCCTCCACAAAGTCGAAGTCTGGCAAAAAGTCAGCCATTATTCTATAAATCTTTCATAAAATAAATGAATGAACTTTTCAGGCTACTGTCCGGTTCTGCCTTCCAGCTGTTGCTGCTTGTTCTCGCGATATTTCGGCTTTGCTTTGGAAAGCAGAGCTAAATGGTAAACAAACATGGCAGCACACCGGTAAGGTAAGACAACACGTTTACATGTGGTTTTCTATATGTTCTCTGACATTTATCCTAACGATATGAGGCGGTCTTTGTGGAGAAAAAGCTTGTTTAGTGGACTAACTTTGCACTTGAAGGTTGCCCGTTCACTTACATTTTAACAGGTCTGACGCTACTATGCGCCCTGGCTGTATCTAGGCTAATGGCTAACATGCTAACTATTATTTTTATGTCACTAGTCACATGAAACAAATTTAGGATGATAGGAGACAGGTTGAAATAAACCAAAATTTCCCTTTAACATAACTGAGTGCACTGAGAGACAGAAATAAACAATTAAAAAAATAATGAAAAATAAAATACAAGTGGTCATGAAGGAATTAAGGTGCACAGATATCCATAAAGACAAAGGGCTTTTCCAAATTTACAGCATTTTACATTTTTTGTTTGTATAGAATGATTTGGTGACGTCAGTGGATTTACATAAGGTGAATATTGCCTGTGACCAGTGATGACACCTCCTCAGTCTAGTCAGACTTCAATTAATCAATTTTTTTTACACATTTAAATGATCGTTCCATTATAAAAACTCAAAATAGATCAAACTTATTGAGAAAAATTAATATCATCTCTATTAATTAAATATGAAAATTAGGTGTGGATTATCATTTTTTTTCCCCACAGTTAAAATCATGTGC